CCCCCCCCCCAGCTCCAGGACTGGGAAGGGTGCTGCCAGGGGAGGCTCTCACTGGGTTTTGCTTGGTCCTTTTCCCCAAGGTTGGTGCCCAGGAGCAATGGCAATGGCAGCGCAGGCCCCAGCTTGCCGGAGGTGAAACCTGGAGCTGCCTGCTCCCATGTGAGTGCTGCTGCATGAGATCCCGTGCCCTCCCAGCTACCGCCGCCCCCTGACACCTGATGATACAGCGAGCCATGGGCAGCGTCCGAGTCAACCGGTGAGTCACCCCCTTCTCAAGGACTGCTGCTGACCAGGGTGGCTGGTCCTCCTCCTCTGGCCCCTCAGGCCCTGCCTTTAGCCTGCCTTTTGGTATATTCTTCTCTGCTAGGGGCTTTCCTGCTCCAAGGTATGGCTGCTCTCTCCTTCTCCAATTCAAGACCAGGCTGAATGGGGCTTTGAGCAACCCGGTCTAGTGGGAGGAGGTGTCCTTGCCCATGGCAGGGGGTTGGACCTCAATGATCTTTAAGGTCCCGTCCAACTCTAACCATTCTATGATTCTATGAAGACACACAATACGTGGGGGCAATGCTCAGAGGAATGCTACAGAGGAGAAGCAAAGTGCTGTGTGGTCCTGGGCTGGAAATTACAGATGCAAGCAGTGCTGCAGAAGCCCCTGGTCCCCAGGAGTCCCAACTCCAGCCTCTTTCCATGAAAGGAGGAGGAGAGTCACGGAGCCCATGCTGGAGGGCATGACAACACTATAGGGTCGGAGGGAGGCACTGGCAGCCTGACAGGTTCTGGGAAGACAAGGCTCAGTGGTCAAGAGGACAGAGCAGTCTTGGTGGGTCTGTGCACTCCCTTGATTTCCTTAGTGGCCAGAGCATCTTCTGCCATGACATCTTAAAGGAGTATCTGCAACTGTGGACCCAGCACCCGAGGGGTAGTAGTGGTGCCACCTGTGAGGGAGGGGAGCCACAGGGGCAAATGTCTCCCACAAAGTGTGTGGGGAGCTTCTTCCAGGGAAATCTGCCAGTACTTTGGCTGTTGATCTCCAAATTACACCTTTGGCTTCGGATGCGGGATGCTGGGAGCTACGCATGTTGCTGTGGCAACAGAATTGTCCTGAGCGCAGGAAGTGTATAAACACTGTCACCGATGCACCATGAAATCAGTGAGGAGGGTGGAGGAGAAAATAGAAACTCACGGCCTTATATAATGTCAGGGCCAAAATGTGGCCAGACCACACGTGCTTGCTCCCAGGCTCCCCAGCTGTCCCAGCTGCTGTCAGGTTTCAAAGCCTTGGGTCCCTCCTCACCACAAAAGCTGGAAGGAAGCACAGTGCTACAAGCTTCTCCTGCTTTGTTGTCCTGTCAGGACTTTGCTATATACAACCTCCTGGCAGCAAGATTCGGCAAATATTGCAGCTGAGCTCCACCAATTTGGTCAGGGTGGCACCATGGTGCAACAACCAGAGAAATGTACTCTTGTGATACTCAACACCATGGTATCGTAGCCCTGTGAGCCACCTATGTGTCTCATGCCTTCACTGCCTCAGTGGTTGCTGTTGTTCTTCATGTATTTCTCCTGGAAATGCATGTTTCTTCTCTTCCAGGTACAGCATCGTGTCGACCGAAGAGGATGGACACAAGGTGTCCGCGCTGGGCAGCATGAATGGGCACAGCCGGAACGGGAAGGGCCATGCCCCCCGGCGGAAGCACCGCAACCGCTTTGTGAAGAAGAATGGCCAGTGCAATGTCTACTTTGCCAACCTGAGCAACAAGTCTCAGCGCTACATGGCCGACATCTTCACCACCTGTGTGGACACACGCTGGCGGTACATGCTTATGATCTTCTCTGCCGCCTTCCTGGTCTCCTGGCTCTTCTTTGGCTTCCTCTTCTGGTGCATCGCTTTCTTTCATGGCGACCTCAATGCACCGGCAGTGGGAGGTGGTCCCTCTCTCCTCAAGCCCTGCATCATGCACGTGAACAGCTTCCTGGGGGCTTTTCTTTTCTCAGTGGAGACACAGACAACCATTGGGTATGGCTTCCGCTGCGTGACTGAGGAGTGCCCACTGGCTATCATGGCAGTTGTGGTCCAGTCCATTGTGGGCTGCGTTATTGACTCCTTCATGATTGGCACCATCATGGCCAAGATGGCAAGGCCCAAGAAGCGGGCCCAGACCCTCCTCTTCAGTCACCATGCTGTCATCTCAGTGCGGGATGGCAAACTGTGCCTCATGTGGCGGGTGGGCAACCTGAGGAGGAGCCACATTGTGGAGGCCCACGTCCGAGCGCAGCTCATCAAACCCTACATGACAGAGGAAGGAGAATACCTCCCCCTGGACCAGCGGGACCTCAATGTGGGCTATGATGTGGGCCTCGACCGTATATTTTTAGTCTCACCCATTATTATTGTTCATGAGATTGATGAGGAGAGCCCACTCTATGGGATTGGCAAGGAAGAGCTGGAGACGGAGAACTTTGAGATTGTTGTCATTCTGGAGGGGATGGTGGAAGCCACAGCCATGACCACACAGGCACGAAGCTCTTACCTTGCTAGTGAAATCCTTTGGGGTCACCGTTTTGAACCAGTTGTGTTTGAGGAGAAGAACCACTACAAAGTGGATTATTCACGCTTTCACAAGACCTACGAGGTAGCCGGCACACCTTGCTGCTCAGCCCGGGAGCTGCAGGAAAGCAAGATGACTATCCTACCTTCTCCCCCACCTCCCAGTGCCTTCTGCTATGAGAACGAGCTGGCTCTTGTCAGTCAAGATGAAGAAGAAGATGATGATGAAGTGGGTGTGGTGTTAGGGGGCAGCACTAAAGAAGAGGGAGGCATCATCCAGATGATGGATTTTGGAAGCCACCTGGACCTGGAGCGTCTCCAGGCAACTCTGCCCCTAGATACAATCTCATACCGCAGAGAGTCAGCCATCTAATTCCAACCTCCCCATTCCACACCCGTCACCCACCGTTTCCTCCTCTGTTCTGCACCCGTGCGTAGCTGGATAAGTTCCTTGCCCACCAAAAAATGCCTCCCGTGACTGCCTCCCAGCCCCTGAGTACATCAAGGCCTGGAGCTGCTCTGATATATTCCCTTTCCCATGAAGTCATACCGCCTGGGAGGGGAGTGAGGATACACTACTCTTCCAGTGTATGCAGCTTGTGCCAGGATCCCTTTCCTGCCCAGAGACAGGAGAGCACCACGCCTGGTTTCTCATCTCTGGAGAGGCGACATGAGTCCATGCCCTCAACAGACAGGCCAGGACCCACAGCAAGTATTTCTGCTGCTGAGGCAACAGCAAACTTTCCGTTCCCTCTTGACATGGGTAGGCCTCATGGCTGCCAAGAGTCATGACCACCACTAGGAGAGGAGTGATACCTAAGCAGTGACCAGATGAGGATGGACGGGAGAGTTTAGGATTCTTGGAGGGAGTGGAAAAGGATCTCAAGGGAGGGGCTTACTTGCATGTTTATTGCTTGTTGCACATGACTCTTTCTTTGTATATAAAACAGAACGAGAACCGAAATCCATATTCTTCCACTGCAAACGCCAAGCTAGGAGACAAGAACGCTCTGCGTAGCCTACTCTGCACTCTCCTTGGCTTTTGGCATCTGTCGCCTCCAGAAGCAGCTCAGCTCCACGGACTCAGACCCAGTCCTCCCAGTCCTCTTGGAAAACAAGTCCTGCTCCTCTCCTGAGACGCCTGGCAGAGGAGGCAGGGCCCTGTGCTTGCACACTCAGACTGCTCCCTGGCACGGTGTGGCCGGGATGACAGACAAATGACCTGACTGGACAGCAGACCCTCGACTTGCTCCTTTCACCTCCTCCGTTCTTCTCCCTGCTGCCATCAGCTGTAAAACTGAATTTGTAACTATTTATTTTTAATAAAGTCTAATATCCCAGGGGGAGGCTTGGAAGCAGAGGAGACACTCCGAGGCTGCAGCCCGGTGTAGAGACTGATGATAGTTATAAGTGCTGGTGTTTGCTGTTTGTATGGCGTTGGTGCCTGGAAGCTCCACCACCAGGCTTCCCCTGTTCTGGGCCTCCCTGGTAAAGACCTGCAATAAGGGGTTCAGAGCATTTGCTCAGGGAGAAGATCATACAAAATGTATGTATGGAGGGAAGCATTTGCATTAAAGTGACAAGTAGGATGGGTCAAACAATCCTGCTTGCTTTGGAGATAACAGGAGTTTTGCCCAGGGAAGGGTTATAGACATGATTAAAGAGGCAGAGATGTGCAAGACACTGCTGTAGATGTAAGGCTCAAAAAAAAAAAATCTATATAAAAAGCCCCAAGCCTCTTTTTTTTTGCTAGAGTCAAGTAAGAACTAGAGCATCAACGAGGGGCATCAACCAGAGCTAGACCTGTAACGTCACTTTACTGTCATTTCACGAAAGACAGGGAAACCTAGCAAGCCTTTTCCTTTAGAAGTAGCGGAGTCACTCCTTTAAATCTATAGGTGATACGAGGACAGACAGACAAACAGCTCAGGAAGCTGCTCTGGGCACCCAACAGTTGTGCTATGGGGGGAACGGCTGAAGAAGTGATGCTCCATCCAACCCCTGATCTACAAAGCAGAAAAATAGCATCCCAATACCAATTTGGAATTGGTTCAAAGAAGCAAGAGGAAGGGGGGAGGAAACAGAAGGGGAAGGAAGGAAATAGCAGGAGTGAGAGGAAGAAGCAGTCACAGCAGGCAGAGGAGGAGGAAGGGAAAAGGAAGAAGAGAAAGTGAGGTAATATGGGAGTGCGTTTGAGAAAGAGCAGGGACAGACTAACAAGATGGGTCTAGACCCAGAGGTGGACATTTCTTATCCTGGCATGCAGCTGCCCTGCACGGGTTTGCTCTGCACCCAAGCCAGTGAGCTGGCACCTTTGGGAAGCCTTGCCAAGAAAGGAAGAGGAGCTGGCGGGAGGATGAGAGAAGAGCAGACAGGTGACAACCGGGCATCAGGAGAGGGGTGGGGAATGGAAAGGCACCACCCTGGATGCCTCCCTCTCCTCCCGTCGCACACAGAGTGGAAACAGGACCTTGTGGATACTGGCTTTCCCCATGTATGGCTTGATCACAGCCTCATTTTTCCACGTGGGACCCTGTCCCACCTCTCCTTCGCATTGCTAATTAATTAAGTCCCTCCCTCCCTCCTTTTATTATTTATTTATTTTCCCCAGAGGGAATAAGCAGGGGCTGGTATTGACCTGGCTTTTAGCACAGCTTTCAGAGCTGGGTGCCTGCCACTGGCCATGGCAGTGGAAACAACCTAATGGACCGAGAGAGAACAACTCCATGTGAGAGGACACGGGCATCCAGGACACAGACTGAGGTGGTGGCCTCCAGGAGAGGGGGAATCCACATGACTGGTCATTCCCTGCCGAGGTACTCCATCCTTCAGAGGCAGATGACAATGCTTGGTGGGGATGAAGTACCTACAGCCTCTTAGCTCTTCAGAGGCCCATCTCCAAGATGAAGTACCTACAGCCTGTTAGCTCTTCAGAGGCTCATCTCCAAGGAGTTGGGGCCCAGGGAACCTTGGCAAGGATGGGACAGCTGAGATGCACTGGGGCCATGGGGGTGCGCAGTGAGGGCAGTGGAGGCAGCACTGCCACCCCTCTCTTCAGATGATATGACTCTTGGGCAAAAAATGGGAAAAGGTTGCAATCATGCTAAGGAACAAGTATCATGCAGCCCTGCTGGGATCCCACCCCCCTCCCTATGTTTGAACCTGCTCACCCTTTTCATGCCCCGTTTGGCATCGTGGTGGAGAAGACACGGAGGCATTGAGGAAAACCCAGCTAAAACCCTGCTGTTCATAATAAAAGTGGGAGAAAGCTGGCGACACTGTCACATTGTTAGAGAGGGGAGACAGCTGAGGACCAAGGGAGAGAAGGGGGATGAGGGGAGGGGGTAAAAGGGAAAAGAGGAACAACCAGAGTGCAGGAGAACAAAGGTGATGGGTAAACCTCTGCCCATCGGGTGCTCTTCCCACCGCTGTGCTTATGTTGCCCAAATGGCATGTTCCTTGGGTACACATAGCCTGTCTGATGGCACGGTGAGGTCATTCCTCCCAGTAAGAAGTGCTCTTCTGCTTCTGCAAGCTGCACGCATGCCCACAGGCTGTGCTGATACACAGTGGTACGTACATCCTTCTGCACTGGTACTTCTGTCCCCACACACTCGAATGACAGAGTACTTGCACCCAAGTACGCACTGCATGTACTTACATGTGTATGCCATACATGGGGGCATAACCCAACCTGTACCACAACTCCATCCCATGAACACCCAAGGATGTACACACAAGAGCTATGTGACAACAGCATCTCAATAAGTGGGTGTCCGGCTGTAGGCTGGAGACTCCTTTATGCAGCCCATGAAAGGCCACCAGGAGAATCCACCTCAGAAGGCTGTTTGCTATAAAGAAGGCTGGATATTTTTAAGGAGTCTGCAAATCAGCTCTCCAAGCCATTCACAACCATAACCGCATCTGATATTTTGGCCATTGTGTACTGTATGTGGAGCACCAGCTTTCAGGTAGGTGACACTTTCTGGTCCTGTGTTCTCCAGAAAAGACAACGCTATTGCATGCCAGGGCACCATGTCCCCCCTTGCCCAGGATCTGATGGAAGGACTGCTTCCCTAAGACCTGCCCCTAATCCTGAGGGGCTGGCAGCTTGCTTTTCAGGAGGAAGACACTGCTGCTTTGTTTATCTGCCCACAACCTATATTTCTCTCCTGTTTTACTTCCCAATGATTTCCTTGGCTCGTTATTGAAAGCTATTCAAATACCAGAAAGATAATGGGGAAAGGAAGGACTTTTTCCCTATGAATAAGATCCAGGCACTGGTTCAGATCCTCCGCCCCATGACAAATAACTACACTGCTGTCAGTCTTGCCAACTTTCAGATGAATGTTGTTTTGTTTTAAATGACACTTGAGTAACTTGTTTCATGCTTTATTTTTGGTGACACTTTTGGACAACTCTTTTGAAAAGAAACCATCATTGGCACCTTTCAACTCACCCAAAACTTGCTCAGCAAAACATTTTGATACACACTGCGACTAAAAATATTTTCAAGAAACACAACAACAATCTCAAACGAGGAGAAAATGGGTTTGGATTTCCATGATCAGGAAGCAGTGTTGAAAATGTCCGTGCTGCTGAAAAAAACGTGTTCCTTTTCAAACAGGTCATTTTCATCCAGGTTTTGCCCAGGAGCAGAGCAGGGCACATGGCGCTGCCCCAGCAGCTGCATCTTGTGACCTCTGAATGACAAAATGCCTCCTCTGCTTGCTTCAAGCTTTAGCAGCCCTTCTTTGCCTTTGCAGGAGGGTGTGGGAGCTCTCCCAGCTTTTGGACAGTCAATATGAAGTGGCCACGGTTTTAAATGTCACACACACACACAAAAAAAAAAATCCAGAAAAAAAGCCTTATCTTCCCAGGCCATTAAGGGCTTGCTCTTGCCCCTGTGAATTCAATGGGACTTTTGCCATTGCCAGTGGTAAGAGCAGAGCTGGGCCCTAATGGAGTGCCGCTATCGGAAAACCCCGCAGGCGCCAGCCCTATGCTAGATCCGCCAAGTCCGACGGACTATTGCTGGCTGTGCAGGAGGGGGAGAGGAGGGAAAGCAGCCTGCTGGGATGCTGACAGCATGGGGCAGAGCAGGGCCAGCTGGGGCAGCCCCGCTGGGGCAGGTAAAGGGGGACAGCAGGGGGATGAGGAGGCAAGGGAGGCAGTCTGTCAATGTGGATGCCCGTACCACGGTATCCCACAGCCGGAGGATGCCACAGCAGGAGGAGCTGAGACGGTAGCAGGTTTTTGGAGGGGGATACAAAGGCTTCTTTTCCTGCTGTGGTCAGGAGGGTGGGAGTCCTGCCCTCCCCAGCCCGGGTGTGCTCCTGCTGCCAGGATGCAGCGCCAGGGAAGCTGAGTGGCACGGCACAGACTGATGGAGCCCGGCCATTGCCCGGCCTCAGAGCACCATCTAGAGATGAAAGCAAGGTTGGCATCCCTACAGGTCCCGGCATCCCTGTAGATCCCGGCATCCCTGCAGGTCCTGGCATCCCTACAGGTCCCAGCATCATCCCTGCAGGTCCTGGCTCCCGGGCTGGCCCAAGGCTACCACCGGTCCCGGCGCTGGCGTGGCACAGATGGGCTGGGGCTGGCTTCCCAGGCGGTGCCATGGGTCAGAGCTGGGAGTCGGGGTGGAAACACTTGAGAGAAGGCAGGCTCTGAGAGGAGCAGCATCCACCAGCCAAGGCTGCACCCATAACCTGAAATAAAGGTCAAACCCCCTGACAGCCAGGCCGGGGCTTTCACAGAGGGACCACTGACTCTGGGAGCAGTTCAGTTATCTGTGCCACTTTGATTTCTTCTCAGGGAGAAGCCTGCAAAGGTGCTCCATCCCTGGGAAGTGAGGCAGAAAAGATCTGGGTTCAGAGCCAGGTCCTTCTGGTCACCGCTGTGCCTCCTGCCTGCCCTGCTGCTGCCTCACAGCCCTGCCTGGGTGCATGTGCTCAACGTGTGAGGTTTGCTCCCCTTTTTTTTTGTTATTTAAACCCTCCACGTGGCACACACAGCTGTAGCAGGGTGCTGCTGCCTGTCCCCTGCCGCAGGCGGCTGGCCAGCACTCTCCCCTGGCATCAGAGGGGCAGTGAAACTGTATGGAAGTGGAGAAATGCTCTGCTCGAACCTCTCCTCGACAGCATGATGCCTCTCAGGTAGAGGGTTTCCAATGCCCTGAAAGCTCTTCTGTCAACCAACCTTTGCATACCCCCTCAGGACATTAGATAATGACAGCCTGGCATCCCTACAGGTCCCGGCATCATCCCTGCAGGTCCTGGCATCCCTACAGGTCCCAGCATCATCCCTTGCAAGCTGTATGGAGTCTCAGCTCCTGGGCAT